ACCGCAGCGGCCTCTCCCGCTGCGGAGCACAGGCTCCAGGCGTGCGGGCTTCAGCAGTTGTGGCACACGGGCCCAATAGTTGTGGTGCGCGGGCTCTAGAGCTCAGGCTCAGTAGTTGTGGCACATGGGCTCAGTCGCGCTGCGGCATGTGGGATCCTCCTGGACCAGGGCTCGAACCCGCGTCCCCCGCACCGGCAGGCAGATTCCCAACCACTGTGCCACCAAGGGAAGTCCCTGAATATAGTACAATTTAGTGATGATACTCCAGAATAAAAAAGGAAACCATCTCAGTCAGAAATTTAATACATCTGTACAATTATACACTTCTTTGGTCCTAAACTGAAAGTCAGCAAGATCTGGGTGCCAGTTACATGCTTGTGTTCAGTTGGAGACGGTGTGAGCTCTTCACTTATAATATGTACTTTTCTGTATGTGTATTCCACTTAAATAAAAAAATCTTAATCAGTGTTTCAGTCCCACACCTTACTTACTGTGAACTACTTTGACTAATCTATCCCTGTTCTCAGGGAGTTAACATGAAACTTTTTCCTCCAGTCACTGCCCCCAGCCCATCCAGTAGTTAAATGTCCCTTAATCTCATCTTACCAATTTTCACACTTTACAGACACTAAATAAATACTCAGTTCATTTATGCCTTAATCACATGTCCATCTACAGCCCATTTCCCTCCTTCCTCAGAGTTTAATATTGATAGATTATGGTTTAAGGGACCAGGGAGTGGGGAAAGGGCCCTCTAGGTAGCAGACACCCCCCCTCTCATGAGGAGTTGCTTGTGTAAGGGATCCGGCTCTAGCCTACCCTTCCAGCCCCATCCCAACTCCTACCACCCCATACACAACAACAAGGGCCATCTTGGTGGGATGATAGCCCAAAAGCTCAGGCCTTCTGCAACTTCTCCTGAACCACAGGAAGTCACAACTTCCCTGTGTGTCAACTGGTGGGAATCAGACAGCTCCAGCCACCCTCCTCCCTCCCTACCCCACATCTTCTCTCAATTTCCCTTTCATCTCTACTCAGTCAAGGACAGGGAGCAAGTCTGCTGCCTAACAATGGGCTCAACCTTGCCTTCCTTCTTGGAAGCCCCCTCAACCTATACAAATGCTTCTCTTGGAAGACACTTCCAAACTCGCTTGGCTTGACAGCGGAAGCAGCATTGCGCCCCACTGTGCTCCACTAAGAGGGGAGGGAATCACTTCAAATGCTGCCCTCCCTAAGCAGTCTTCTTACACAGACCAGGGAAAGGCTGAGATGATGTTTGTGGTAGTAGGGACAGCTCTGTGGCCTCTTCGTATCTGTGAAGCCAGTGACGTGTACCTGGCTCCAACTCTTGGGGACTGTCATTGTCATTGACTGACAGGTCATTTAACAACACCTCTTCAATTTCAGCTTTGGACCCCAATGCTAATTCTGAAGCGACAGTTAAAAAAAAAAAATCTACCAACATCCAGTTACAGTGAAATGGCTTTCTCTTTTTCAAGGCACGTTTCAAATGCTGTTTCATCCGAAAGTGTTTCCTAGTTCCCTAACCAGTACAGTCTCTCCTTCCTTTGACCCTGCCACAGCACTTTCCCAATAATACCTTATCAACTGAGCGTGTAGTTCTGATACTACTCTCACTGCATACTATATGCAACGAAATTTTGTCACAGCTAACACACAGTCTTGCAAATCACAATGCAAACATTTGCTCAAATGAAAAAAATAAATAGTACATAACTATTGCAAAGTTAGGTATACCTATATAAAACAAGGTGTGCAATTAAAATTAAATTCACCTATGCAAAATTCAAACAGCAATGTGAAACACTGTGCCAAGATACACCATTTTTAACAAGCTGCTTTTATTATAAAACATGTTTGGGGACTTCCCTGGTGGCTCAGTGGTTAAGAATCTGCCTGCCAATGCAGGAGACACGGACTTGAGCCCTGGTCCGGGAAGATCCCACATGCTGTGGAGCAACTAAGCCCAAGAGCCACAACTACTGAAGCCCACGCACCTACAGCCTGTGCTCCGCAACAACAGAAGCCACCGTGATGAGAAGGCCACGCACCACAATGAAGTAGCCCCCGCTTGCCACAACTAGAGAGAAAGCCCGCGTGCAGCAACAAGGACCCAATGCAGCCAAAAAATATAAATTAATTATTTATTTTTTAAAAACCCATGTTTGTCACAGAAGAAACAGTAGGGGAAAGCACACAGAAAACAAATTACCCATTACACCTTCACTGCTACATTTATGTCTTGTCATTCCAGTCTTTTTCTATACATATATACATACCTGAGACCATACTGTTTTGCACTTTGCTTTTTCACTTCAGGTACTGTGATTATCTATATACCATTAAGTAGTCTTCTACAAACGTCATATTAATAACTGCAGAGCATTCCACTGCATGGTTACTTCAGCTTTTGTTGTCATCAAATTGTCCCTAGTTATAATACTGTGATAACCAATGTTGTTCTTAGGTTTTTTTTCTTTTTTGTTTTTTTTGTGGTACGCGGGCCTCTCACTGTCGTGGCCTCTCCCATTGCGGAGCACAGGCTCCGAACGCGCAGGCTCGGCGGCCATGGCTCACAGGCCCAGCCACTCCACGGCATGTGGGATCTTCCCGGACCGGGGCACGAACCCGCGTCCCCTGCATCAGCAGGCAGACTCTCAACCACTGCGCCACCAGGGAAGCCCTTGTTCTTAGGTTTTTATAATTCTGATTATCTCCTTAGGTAATAGGATTACTTCTGACCAGAAGCTGCAAATTCACGTTAAAGCTCCTCGTGGAAAATACATGCCCAAGTTTACTTGCTCATTAACCACAGGTGGGTTTTCCTGCTGGGGAAACCTGGGAAAGCTGCTCTCTGCTCTAGGCCAGGCAGCCCTGCCTCACCACTCAAGACCAAGAGCCCACAGCCCTGCACCAACATCTCAGGTGGGGACAAGGAGAGAGCTGACCATACCGTGGGGGCTAGGTATGTGCGAAGGACGGCCCAGAACACCTTGAACAGAACCTCTCCTACAATCCCTTGAGGTCCCTTCAAACCGCAGTACTGCTTTCCTTATTGAGCCCCGCAGGAGGACTCTGTGAGGCATTTGGGGAGGCACCATTCTGCCCTACAGCTGGAAAAACTATCTACTTTATCTCACTGCCCAAGGGCAACTTTACAAGCCAGGTTTCCCTATTTCTTCAAGGTACTCTTCTTGAACCCGTGCCCTGAGAAGGCCCTGAAGAGGCCAAGAAGTCTGTACCTTGTAGTCTGGCCAGTCAGTGACCTGGGCAGAGTGGGATTGGTAACACTTTCACCAGCACCTGGCATCTTGCCAACGAGGCCACTGGGCGCCCTGGCCAACTGCAAATGTACACTCCTCAAAGTTCCTGTCTCACTGACCAGAAGCCTTCCCCTCACACAAGTCAACAACCTAGCATTAGCTGTAAAATACTTTGCTATAAACCATAAAAGTTCCAGCATGTCTGAAGCAACCCAGTGAAATTTAAGTCATTGTTGAGCATCATTCTTATTGGAATATAACTCGTGCAACTTTCTGAAAAGGAAAAAACAACGCATACATAGCAAGCAGGTTCTCTGAATTTTTAACTCAGCATAAGCTAAAGAATAAGGGTTAGCTCACAGCTGACTCCAAATAACAGAAAACAATACATGTATACTCTTTTGGAAATTAGAAGAGACAAAACCCACCGGTGTCTTCCGGCCCCCATGCTCTTCTCTCATTTCCCTTCCAGCACAATTTAATAAATAAATTCCATGGGGCCATCTCCTTCCTAATGGACTTCTCCCTTAAACATTTAGCTACTTTATGTTCACATGCTCCTACATCTTTGTGGGAATTATTTCCAAGGCCAAGTTAAAAATAAATCAAAGAATTTGTAACTAAAAAACAGCAATTACCAGTCCTTGTTCTGAGAATCTGTGTTTTACCAAATATTTTCAAGGTCCGTTTAAAAAATTAAAAACACGTTCACTTTCATCTAAAATAATTCAAACAAAAAATATTCCATCAACATTCCTATAATATGTTGCAACTCCCACAAAAAGATTATGAAACTGTTAGGACACCCAAGCCTCCTTGTGAAGAATCATCTTCAGGAGATGCTCCCCTCTTCCCCACTATTCTGTGGAATATACTAAATATCATAAAAATCAAATGCTTGTTGACTTGCACTCATTTTGAAAGAAATTAAAATACTGAAGAGCTGCACCATCCCATACAGTAGCCACTAGTTACATGTGGCTACTGAGCACATGAAAGGAAGCTAATTCAAACTGAGCTGTGCTGTAAATGCAAAATATACACTGGATTTTGAAGTCTTAGTACTAACAAAAGAACATCTCATTAAAAGTTTTTTATGTTGATTACATGTTGACACGATATTTTGACTACGCTGGGTTAGATCAAGTATTACACTTTTTTAAACTTTCCTAATGCAGCTATTAGAAAATCTATCTTAACATATGTGACTCTACTGTAATTGTATATATAAATAGCCCTGTCCCTTTGACCTATCCTTTTTCACCTAATCTTCTTGTGAATCATAAAAAAGATTTCTGTATTATAATCGAAGGAAGTCTTCACCCCAAAGGGGACCCAATCCACAAGGCAAACTACAAAAGGGGCAAGTGTTGTCAGAGATTCAAGGTCATTCTTCATAGGCGTCACCAGGAAGCTGCCTAGAAACAGCTGTGTACACATGCCTAGCACATCCAAGTTTTCAAATCTAAGTCACCTGGCAAATGATCATGGATTCCTCGATTTACAGGTGTAGTGCAGACTCTACTGAAATCCAGAGAATTGTCCAATATGGCATTTATCCTTCGAAAGATATTGGCATTGCTACACGTGGAGAGCGCAGGTGCTTCCTGATTGTCCCAGCAATCTTTTATCCTTCCCGCGTCTTCCTCCTAGACGCAGAAAAAAGATGTTTAGATTTTCTACTCTCCTTTTTTTTTTTTTTTTTTTGCGGTACGCAGGCCTCTTGTTGTGGCCTCTCCCATTGCGGAGCACAGGCTCCGGACGCACAGGCTCAGCGGCCCAGCCGCTCCGCGGCATGTGGGATCTTCCCGGACCGGGGCACGAACACGTGTCCCCTGCATCGGCAGGCAGACTCTCAACCACTGCACCACCAGGGAAGCCCTCTACTCTCCCTTTTAATAGAGACTTCACACCTCCTTTCTTCTAATCCAACACCATAAGTTAAAGTAACAAGGACTTGGGTTTCTTGCCTATATATTAAAACACTTCACTCTGAGCAAGGCACCCTGAGAGAACCATAAGAGGGAAAAACACTGAAATGTAAGATGCTGCCTCAAGAACCTTCTAACATAATGGGACATGTATAGGAAGGAGAATGGCATGGTAGCAGCAACATGAGCTTTAAGAACCAGACACACCTGGTTCAAATCTTGAATTTATCTACACAATAGATTATTCGGCAATAAAAAAGAATGAAGTATTGATACAAACTACAACACAAGTAAACCTCAAAAACATTAAGTTAAAGAAGCCAGTCACCCAAGACCACAGATGATATGAGCCCAATTATGTGAAACATCCAGAATAGGCAAATCTAAAGTATATTAGTTGGGGCTTCCCTGGTGATGCAATGGTTAAGAATCGCCTGCCAATGCAGGGGACACGGGTTCCAGTCCTGGTCCAGGAGGATCCCACATGCTGCGAAGCAACTAAGCCCGTGTGCCACAACTACTGACCCTGCGCTCTAAAGCCCACAAGCCACAACCACTGAGCCTGCGTGCTGCAACTACTAAAGCCTGTGCACCTAGAGCCCATGCTCCACAGCAAGAGAAGCCACCACAATGAGAAGCCCGCGCACCGCAACAAAGAGTAGCCCCCACTCGCCGCAACTGGAGAAAAGCCACGCCAACACAGGCAAAAATAAAATAACTTTATAAAAAAAAATAATCAAGTTGATTAGCTGCCTTCAACTGGGGATGTGGGGAGCAGGTTAGAGGGTCGTGTCTAATAGGTACAAAATTTCTTTTTGAGATTATGAAAATATTCTAAAATTAGACTATGGTGATGGTTACAAAACTGTAAATATATGTATGGAAAGACAGTGTATAGAGTACAAATACTAAGTTTACCACTTAAGTATCTTCTTTGAGCCTTGGTTGCCTTAGGTACAAAATGGAGTACCACCTACGTTACAGTTGAAAGGTGAATTTTACGGTTATGCAAATTACATCTCCATACAGTTGTTTAAAGTTTGGTTCTGCCATTTACTGGCAGTTATTAATCTCTGTGCCACAGTTTCCCCATTTGTGAAATGGGAGAAGAGTACCTACCAACCTTTTGATGAGATGTTTACAGCACTTAGCATGGTGCTGGCATATGGTAGCTACCATTTTTACATCTGAAGATATAATCACAGGAAAAGACACGGTCAGGACCAAGAGTGGTACAAACACCACCCAAAGGGAATTGTTTAAATAAGTTATACAATTCCACATGGTCATTAAAAGTACTTACAACTCAGGTAAGACATTGCTGAATGAGAAAAGCACTCCCAGATACATAAACATGAACTGAACCCCCACCCAAGTGATTCTTTTGGTATTCTCTGTCTCAGCAAATAACACCACCATCCTCCAGGTGCCCTAGACAGAAATCTAGGTACCATTCTTCACTTTTCAATCTCCCTCACTCACCACATCCCATGCCTGACATTTAAGCAATGAGATACTGGCTGACAGACTGAATCTTCTAAGAGGAGCCTGACTCATCAGTTATATCATTCCCAATTACCTTGGGGGGAAAAAAACAGACCAAGTAAGGAAACTAGCACCTAAGATCTTGTAGGTGATAACTTCAAAACAAAATTTAAAAAGCCTGGTGTTATTTTGTTTAACCTATTGAAATCTAGGTATAAGCATGAGAATGACCAGAAACATTTACAATTTTATAAACTCTGCAGTATGGCCTTAAAGGGACAAACTTGAGTTCCATATCATTTTCAAGCTCTTGAAAGAGTCCTGCAAGGTTGTTTTCCCAAGCCCTCCAGAGAGGTCCCACCAAGAATGGTTAAATCCACTGACACAAGGCCCTTTTCACAACTGTAGATTTCTAAGATGATTTTCAACTTCATTAAGGCAACTTCACAAGGGCTAAGATAATAAGCACTTATAATCAATCTGCGGATCTTAAGGCTACATGCTTCATTCATTCCCTGCCTAATAACCATTAACCAATTGCCTGCTATCTACAGCAGCATTCTAAGGGTAGGCAGGTTAGACAGAGACTCAGTCAAAAAAAATTTTTGAAGTCTAGAAAGGGAACTAAGACCTGATTATGTCGTGAACAATCACAACACAAGCTACAATGTGCTGTAAACATACACTGTCCTCTGAGCCGAGGGGACTCAGAGGAAGAGAATGTGCCTGGAAGTGAGGGTAAGACGAAGGTCTGAAGAACACAGAGAACAGAGCAGCATTATCAAAAGTGGCCCAGCATGGCGGAGTGTTAGGTATGGGAGAAGAGAGCAGACTGGAAAGAAGGTCTATATGCTTTGGAGTACAAATACTAAGTTTACCACTTAAGTATCTTCTTTGAGCCTTGGCTGCCTTAGGTAGAAAATGGAGTACCACCTACTTTGCAGACTTTGTGGTAATGAGAAAGTAAAGTGCCTGGATACGCTCAATAACTTATTAGGGACAAACATCTCCCAACTCCATCACTGTTATTCATAAGTATGCTTTCAAATTATCCTAATCAAGTTCACAGAGAAGCTTACAGCACATAACTAGAGGGTTTTTTGCCTTAATGGTTTGAAACTACCACTCATAATTCTTTAAAATCTGAACCCACACCATGCAGCTATGTTTGCTAGTTCAGGAATAAGATCCTAAAATGTTATACCTATTTGTATGCCATAACAAATCTAGATTTTCCCTATTTTGGAAACCCTGGCCTTGTCTTCAAATACCGTATAACCCGGGATCAACATGGTGATGAAATGGCCATTCCTTTAGGTCAAAATCCTGGTTTGTGGATATCTGTCATAAATGAATGCCAACTCTACCACCTTCTGGGTTTGTTTTCATTAGGTCTGCCTTTAATCAACAACAAAGTATCTACACTGCAGACCACTTCAAGACTATTACCTGATTCCTCAAAAGACAGCTGAAAGATTTATGGAAGACTGTCTGAATGGGACACAGTTTATCTACTCCTCCTGATGGAGTTTTAAGCCTGGGGTTCCATGGATTGGAATCCACTGACTCCCTTTGCAAAACTGTTCATGCTAAAAATTTTTCTGAGAATAAAGTTTTCTAATTAATCAGATATTTTTAGTTAATAGCACTGGTCTTGGACATTTTGGTTTTTTTACCTATTGTACAACAAAAGAAAGTAATATACTTAGATAGCCCAAAAAAAGTGGTTCTGAGATGTACTTTGGCAATTTGGTCTCAATTTTTTAGTAAGTAATAATAAAGCCGAATAAAACCTCTTTAGCATGTACACCCAGGATTTTGAAGATACTGTTTACCACAATTTTGAACAGCACTTGTATGACTACCCACTCAGAAAAATGTCATTCAGACCAAGATAAGGAAATGTTACAGTTTCCCCTAAGGAATTCATGTTTTCCTTACATTATGGGAAAATGTAAATCTAGCCAAGTTTCCATGTTTGCTTTAGTCTCCTGGTCACTCAAAGCCAGTTTCTCTTTGAATTTCAATGACTCTACAGCTGTTAAGAAATGCTTCTCTAACTTTCTCCTTGGTCCTTGCTTGTCCATTCTTAAACTTCCACCTCAAGTCTTCTGTGCAAGAATGTAAGGAATAAAAATTTATTAGGTTGATCCATATGAAGTTGTCAATATCCTACCTTTTCTACCAACAAAATGACAGTGTCACATAGTCTAATATTTCATAAATACTAAAAACCTGCTAGGTCAGATGTTGAGATTACTGAAATATGTAAAACATAATCCATGCCCTAGGGAGAACGAGCTAAGTGGAAGAAAGAAAGATAACCAGCTAGGTAAGTGGAGATCAAGCTAAGTACAAAATACTACAGAAGAGATGAGTATATTTAAGGTACCCAGGATGGTTTAACAATTCAGACTTTTAAGATATGGATTAATGAAAATGCAGAATTTCAATAAGTAAGTCTGAAGAAGAACATAATAGACAAAGAACAAGCACGAAGTGGATACAGAACACAGTAAATTCAAGGAAAGGGAGTGCAGGAACAAGACTGGGCAGGGAGGCTCACCAGGGATAAAGGAGGTAAGGCTGCAGGTCCTTATCTGCAGAAAGAGACCAGATACAAGACTCAAGATACCACCTCCTCTTCATGATCTCACTTCCCTCTCTCTTCTCCACTGGTTCCTTCCCATTAGTCTGTAAGTATGCTCAAGGCTCTCTCATCTTAAAAAAAAACACATCTTCCTTGATTTAAAACATTGTTAAGCCACTGCCTTCTTCCTTTTGCTCTACCACCAATCTTTTAGAAAATATGCCATATTTACTTCTGAACCTCCTGTTCATCCTTCCTCTCAACCCATAATATCCTGCCAGCATGTCCTTCTCCCCCCAAAAGAAACTACATTAATGACCTGCGTTGCCAAACCCAACCGATACTTCAAATCTATCTTACTTGATTGACATCTCTGGGTATCTGATCCTCAGCTACTCTCCACTCATTTAATTCAGGAACCACTTTCTCCTGGCTCTCCCTTTACTTTTCTGGTTATTCTTCAGTTTCTACAGAATGCATTTAATGCCCAATATTCTTTTCGCTCTATAAACTCAGTCCGGAAAAGGAAATACTACAATTTCCAGTACAGGTTTATGAGAACATTAAGGGAATATTTAATACCAAGACTGTTCAAGAATACGTAAAACACATGGTCACTATAACTGTAGCTCTTGTCACACTT